GCCTTGTTGGCCTGGCTGCCTGCTGCTGCTACTGAATGTGGCAATTCCTACTAGCTCACAAGCCTTCCTCTTCCCCTCAGATGGTGACAATGGGCCGGGCAGTATATCCCATTGGCCCACCTGCCTCCTGACCTTCCCAATGTTTTCTCTTGCCCTTCAGCTGTTGCTATTGATGTCCTGTTGATGCCCTTGGTTTAACCCACAGCCTGAAATCATTTTTGCCTCAAACAACTCTCTTTCAATCCATATCTTGGACAAAACAACTTTCTCTATCTGGACCAGTTACACATGTTTCCCTCTGTGTATGAAACCACCCCAGACCAGGGGTGAAATCCAGCAGGTTCTGACAGGTTCTGGAGAACCGATAGTGGAAATTTTGAGTAGTTCGGAGAACCAGCAAATACCACCTCTGGCTGGCAGCCCAGAGTGGGGTGGGAATGGAGATTTTGCAATATCCTTCTGCAGGAATGAGGAGGTAATGGGGATTTTGCAGTATCCTTCCCCTGCCATGCCCACCAAGTCACACCCACCAAGCCACGCCCACAGAACCGGTAGTAAAAAAAATTGGATTTCACCACTGCCCCAGACTCCTTGTTCTATGCATGTTTATTGTTGGTTTTTTAATGAATCATTTTGCACATACAGTATCCAGTTACATATATTTCAAAGGGTGAAATAGAAGTATGTATTACTAAGAATAAAGAGAATAAAGATTATATTTTACTAATGAAATGCTACCTCTTGTGGTATCTTCTTCTTTGCCACTGGGGATCATATATTAAAACACTATGGAACCAATGTTTGTTTGAATGAATGTTTGTCTGTTGCAGTGAAATTATGGTTCTGAACATGCCTGAACAAACAGATCTGATACTGTAAATGAAATTGTAATTTTTAATAATCTTGGGTCTACCTTGTTAGCTTTCAGGAAATGATTAAGTTATAAGTGTGACCCTGTATCTTTATTTAAATTGTTTGGTTTATTATTTTAGCCATGATTCAATTATTGTTTATTATATAAAATTATACCATGAGCATTTTATTGTTGAAATTCTAACCATACTGTCAGCTCTTCAAAATAGTCCAGATAAGAAGTGCCATCCATAAGTACTAACACTAGCTTTATTGTAAGGTGGTAATAACAAAATCTTGCAAGTCTGAAAGCACTTCTCCCTCCCAAAGAACCAAGGAGGGTCCCCTCTGAGATGCTTTTCACACCCCCATTCCTTTTGTGGGCTGAGATATCTTTGTCTAGGCTGTACCTCTTCTCCTGTTTCTCAAGGATATTCTCATCTACCGTTATTCCCACCAAGTATCTCAATTGCACTGGATAAAACATCTTGTCTAAATGTAATTTGCACTGTAAATTCCGTTTTTTCAGAGTAAATCATATAGTAACGGCAAAGCACCTTGTGCAAAAAAAACCCTACTCTTGTGTACACAAAGCCTTAAAAATACCTCTAAGATATTGCTGAAATAATTATTGTAGTAATAATTGTAGAACAAACCACAACTTTACAACTAAAGTTGGCTACTAGTTGAATATTTTAAATTTGCAGCGATAGACAATCAATTTTCAATCAAATCAATCAAATCCTATCGATTTTAGGAAAGAATATAAACTATGGAAGGGGGCCAGCCTATTTACCAAAGCAGCTGAAGGCAGGATAAGAAGCAATAAATGGAAACTAATCAAGGGGAGAAGCAACCTAGAACTAAGGAGAAATTTCCTGACAGTGAGAATAATTAAACAGTGGAACGAATTGCCTCCAGAAATTGTGAATGCTCCAACACTGCAAGTTTTTAAGAAGAGATTGGAGAACCATTTGTCTGAAATTGTGTAGGGTTTCCAGCCTGAGCAGGGGATTGGACTAGAAGACCTCCAAGGTCCCTTCCAACTGTTATTCTGGAAGGAAGACAAGAAATTAAAGAGCCTCAATTAATGTTTTAGAAGAAGAAAAAATACAGTTCCATTCCAGGAACACCTAAATTTACAGTATTAAAGCTGTGATCTTATGCACATTTATCAGAGAACAGATCTCACTGAACTGTTTTGACTACACATGTGTAGAAAATTAATTTACACAATATTTATGGTCATTGTTGATCCTTTCCAATCTACTTATAATTGGAACCAGCTTCTTGGAAATGAAACATTAGTTTTATTTCCTAATGTAACAGACTAGAGAATAAGAATTAGGAGCAGAGACTAAAGCACTGTTGGTCTGGAACTTCAGTCTTTAAATCCCAAGTAGAAATGAACAACTAAATATTTTATTTTTTATTTTTTTAAATAATTTTTATTAATATATTCTATGCACCCATACACAAATCCTGCCACCATGGTGTAATGTGAGTACATTGTCCATAAATATAAAGTCATTCCTTTATACATACATACTTGCCATCATATATATACATCATCATATATCTATTCTCTCCTACCTTTTCTGGACCCAATCGTACCATAATTTCCAACTGTTATAAAATTCTGAATCTTTTTTACCATTGATCAATCTAGTTAATCTATCTGATTCCGCACACTCATTAATTTTATATATTATTTTCAAATCCATCGGTAAGTATTGATTTTTCCACTCCTGCGCATACGCTAATCTTGCTGCAGTAATAATGTGAATCAACAAAAACCATATACTTGATTTAACATTCAAAGGTTTTGCCCCCAACAGGCCTTAATTCTCGGGCCTTTTCCAAATTGATCTGTGTAATTTCCAAAACCCATTGCCGTATTTTTTTCTAATATTTAACCGCCTGCAAGCAGGTCCACCATTGGTGAAAATAAGTTCCATTACTGTAACCGCATTTCCAACAGCAGGAAGATGTCCCGGGAAACATTTTAGCTAGTCTCGCAGCGGGGAGATGCCAACGGTAGACCATTTTATATATGTTTTCTTTGTATGAAGAGACCATGGTTAATTTCATATTTTTCAACCAAATCTGTTCCCATTGCTGGAAGTCAAGGGGATATCCAAAATTTCGCCCCCACGCTATCATACAATCCTTCACTACATCCTGTCCTATCTGCAGAGACAATAAATATGCGTAACATTTAGACAGTAACCCTTTCCCTCCTTCTAATAAGATCTTATCCAGTTCTTGTCTTTTATGGTAAATTCCTTCTTTATATAAATCTTTTTTATACCTGGAGTGCACTTGGGAATAAGACCACCAGTCTATCTTATATCCTTGAAGAGTTAATAATTCTCATGACTTCGGATTACCCTGAACATCCAAGAAGACTTCATATGTCAAAGTTTTCCCCCCTTTATACACTGTCGGGTAGATCTGAGCTTCCTGCGCTGAAATCCAACATGGAACTTTTGAATATACTCTTCTTCCAATCTTTTCCCAAGTGTACCCAAGAGTCCTACGTAAATAGTGATCATCAAATTGTCTGGGGCAGCCGGACGCTCCCGGCCATAGAAAATAGTGCCAGCCATGTTGAAGACCGGCTCCCTCAAATGTCAAAAGTCGTCTCTTTTGTAGGGTCATCCATTCTTTCACCCAAATCAAGTTCGCTGCTTGGTGATAGAGCTCCCAATTTGGGAGTCCAAGTCCTCCTCTGTTTTTGGGTTCTTGTAACATTTTAAGTCTAATCCGCGGCTTCTTTCCCTGCCAGATAAACTTGGATATACTCCTATCCAAATTTGTAAAAAATTCTTTATTCAACCTTACCGGGGCTGTTTGGAATAGAAATAGCCATTTGGATAACACGCATATCTTAATGGTTGCCACCCTTCCCAAAATTGATAGCTGGAGGTTTTTCCATCTTTCTAGATCTCTGAGCATCTGGTTGTAAAGAGGAAGATAGTTATCCTCCTTTATGGAGGAGCATCTGGCAGTCAACCATATACCCAGATACTTAATTTTATTTGTCATTCTTAAACCCATTAACTGCTCCAACTGTTGCCTTTGCATCTGAGTCATATTTTTCGCTAGGATTTTAGTTTTTTCTTCATTCATCAGTAATCCCGCTACCTTCCCATACTCTCTAATCAAGCGTAATAATTTCAGGCCCGAGTCCAGTGGTTGATCCAAAATAAATACAAGATCTTCTGCATAAGCCTGGACTTTAACTTCCTCCTGCCTAATCTTCATTCCTCTTATTTCCGTATTTCCTCTCACTTCTCTAAGCAGGGGCTCTAAAGTCAATACAATTAGCAATGGGGAAAGGAGACATCCCTGTCTTGTACCTCTACAAATTTGGATCCTCTCCGTTTCCTCTCCATCTATGAGTACTCTTGCAGTCTGCTCCCGTTAGATAGCTCGAATTGCCCGAATGAAATTCCCACCAAACTCCATATATTCCAATTGAGAAATCATAAATTCCCAACTGATTCTGTCAAATGCCTTTTGGGCGTCAACAAAAATTAAAGCTAATTGTTTATCCGGGCGATTTTCGAAAAATTCTAATGTATTCATGATAATTCTAATATCTCGTAAGTATCTATTAGGAAGGAAGCCGTTTTGGTCTGAATGAATGAATTGGTTAAGGAAACAGTTAAGTCTGGCTGCAAGGACCCCCGCAAATATCTTACAATCGGAATTTAGTAATGATATCGGTCTATAATTCTTAATAAGAGATAGGTCAGTTCCTTCTTTTGGAGTAATAGAAATATAAGCCTCTGTCCAAGATACTGGAACCTGAGCCTCTTTCATAATCGCATTGAATAAATCCGTCATGTGTTTCCCTACAACGTCAAACACTATTTTGTATAGTTCAACTGGAAGGCCATCTCTACCCGGGGTTTTGCCATTCGCCTGTGCTTTCATAACTGTTTCTACTTCCTCCATCGTAAATTCCGCATTAAGAATATCCTTCATTGTTTCCGAGACTTTAGGCAAATCTGTCTTTTCCAAATATTTCCGAATTTCACAATGGTTTCTCTTCAGATCGTATAAATCTTTCGCCTTTAACAACTAAATATTTTAAAATTCATAGCATGTTACTGAAATGCCACTCTTTATTTTTCTTTCAGGTTTATGCTCGAATGTCTGAAGTCTTGGGAATAACTGATGACAATCAAGTTTTAGAAACATTTATGTCAAAAATGTGAGTTTATGTCTGAGTTATTGTATACAATTGTTTTTGTTGCCAGAATTTATGATTTAAATATTAAATTTAATATTTAATAACATGTCAATGTTATATATCAAACTATAAATTTTCAATTTCAGATTACATGTGTATGTAATCCATATTATCTCCCAGTCTGTTCCTCACTATCACTGGTTAACAGTGTTCTGTTACTTCATTTGATTGTAATTTGAAAATTTGCTATTTTTCATATTTTCCTTTTATATATAATTTTAAATTTTACTTTAAATTTTACTTTAAATATATTGCAAAAGTAGAAAAACTATTATCTTTTCTTCCAATTTAGTAATTGCATTAATTAAAACTATTTATGATAAACTTGACATTAAAAGAGAAGAGGAGAAGCAAATTTTTAAAAAGTATAGCAGCTTCCAGGATTATTATGTATGCAATCGCTTGCACCTATCCTGCTGAAAACTTCATTGTATAGAGTTTTTATATTTTTTATATATATATACTTATATTTTGCTAGAATATATCTTTGTAAACATTTTCTTTTTAATATTTTAGTGTTACAAACCTTAAATATTGGGGGACATGTGAGCCTGTGATTTCAAGAACACTTCAGTTTTTAAATGATCTTTCTGTTGGATATCCTTTTAATTGTTTATTATACATGATATCTGAAACTGGACAGCTAAAAAAGGGAAATTGAACTTGAATTGAAATTTTAAACAGTCTTAATGTACAGAGATGTTTAACATTAGTCATTTAATTAGCCTTTTTGATGCATAAAACATGTTTAAAATATTGTCTTTCTTGTATAAAAAGTTCTCCGACTTTTTAATGAGCTATCAAACTAATTTCCTGCTTTAATAGGTAAAGTCTAACAACACTAAGTATTAGACTATAGTTAATAACCCACAGTGACTGGATGTAAACAGCATGTAAGGCAAAACCAATAAAATGCTCTGTGTTTATCACAGGTGAGTAACCTGTACCTTCCAGATATTGCTGAGCTTCAATTCCCAGCAGTTCCATCCAGTATTACCAGTAGTGAAGGATGCTGGGAGCAGTAATTCAGAATTATATGAGAACCCATCGGTTGCTGAACTTTAGTATGCTGTGTGAATTAAGCTAGTCTCTCATTCATTCATTCATTCATTCATTCATTCATTCATTCATTCATTCATTTATTCATTCATTCATTCATTTCTTTAAATGTATTATGGCTGCCCACTCCAGCAGCATCTGTGCAGCTTACAAAATCTAATATTAAGTTAAAACAATTATAAAACATAGACAAAACGAAACAGCCTGAAATAAAAACGGTCATGAAAATGCAATGCCACAGCTCTCTTCCCCAATACATTAACCCCAGGCTTGGGACCAAAGCTAGATTTTAAGGAGTTTTCAAAGACCCAGCAGACTGGGCACCATTTGTATCTTTGGATAGATGTTGTTCTAAAGGGTGGGAACAGAGAAGCCATACTTCCTTAGTTCTACAAGATGGCAACAGTGAGGCTGGTGATCTAAAAGGCAGTAATTCTTGTATTCCTGTAATGTGATCCTCTTAATATTCCACCCTGAGTGAAATATTTGGAATACATTCAATGCTGAAATTCACTAGGACTTTATGGAGTGAACATTCCCTGCAAATTCAGTTTCATCAGACCCACCGAGGAGGTAACCATTTCCTAGGCATGATTTGTGGGACTGCGATCCTGATTCTTGATCCATCCACTAAGAAATAGATTTCATTCACACGGAATGTGAATTTACTGTTAGATAAGCTCACTTCAGAATCTATAAATAGTCTAGTTCCATCACTCCTCAAGAACTACAGTAAAACAAACCCTTTCTCTGAGCTGTTATGCTCGGAGCCATCTCAGAAAACCTCTCCTACCACTGTTGTGCAAACTTGAAGGTTCCTAGAAAGCAGGAAAAAAAGAAAAGCTTTTTTGTCTATCATTTTTGTACCCTTTCCCAGAAACACAGACAATATTCATTACTCCAAGGTTCCCTGATGTCATTCTTTCTCTACAAAAAGATATGACTTTCTTTGAATATCCCCTGCTGTTAATATGATAACTCTGCAGGTATTTCATCCTGAAGCATTTCATCTTGATAAAGGAAAAGGTAAAGGTTCCCCTTGCACATATGTGCTAGTCTGTCCTGACTCTACGGAGCAGTGCTCATCTCTGTTTCAAAGCCAAAGAACCAGCGCTGTCTGAAGATGTGTCCGTGGTCATGTGGCTGGCATGACTAAACACCAAAGGCACATGGAACACTGTTACCTTCCCACCAAAGGTGGTCCCTATTTTTTGACTTGCATTTTTTACATACTTTTGAACTGCTAGGTTGACAGAAGCTGGGACAAGTAGCAGGAGCTCACCCCATTACGTGGCACTAGGGATTTGAACCACTGAACTGCCAACCTTTCGATCGACAAGCTCAGCATCTTAGCCACTGAGCCAATGCATCCCTTCATCTTGATGCACAATACTTTTCTGCCTTATATGATTATTTCCACAGATCTCAGGACTCAAGTACCTGGGCCCAGGTTGAGGGTTAGCACTGTAGAATGGAATCCAAAGCACTCTGTTTCACAAAGCTTTTAATATTTTTTATTCTGTCCAGTTCCTTTTTAATTATTGAAATGACATTTCATTCCATGCTTCTTAGTAGACATCGTTTTTCAGCTGCTGTTGTTTCAGTTTAGTGTTTTGTTCCCTTTGCTGCAAAATGCAATCTTCATTACAGTATAATTGTAATTCTTTTTTTGTATGCCACTGTCACACACCCCGTTCGCTGTTTTACCCAAAAGGAAACGACGACTCGGATACCAGTTCTTGTATGCATGTAGTCTTTAATCCGATCAGGTCACAACGGCAACGGCGGGTGACATTGGTGCGCTGAGCACAAAGTCGGCGTTGGGAGCGGCTGCCTCCCAACGCAATTTAAACATTCGCGCCGTCAAAGTAAACGCCCTTCCGGGTTGGGTGGCTACGGCGCATGCGCCACAGCTCTGCAGAAGCGGACCGGCTTTTAAAGTCCTATCCCTATCCCGACCGCAGGGGTGACCGGCCGCCTGTGTGCCTGAATTAACACCCCCCTTCACCACCGTGACTATACAACGCCGCCCAGGACCGCCCCGTAATGCCGCTGGAGAGTGCACGAGCCCAGCTGCGGATCCAGAGGTTGAGGTCAGGATCGCTGAGATTCGTCGATGTGTCGAGGGCTCTCGACAGGCGGCTCCCCCTACCAGGGCTGCTCCTGGAACATAGAAATGGACATATTAATAACATCACTGAGATACCGATACCCTCCCCCTACGGCTTGGGTTTATGTGGATAGTGCGTATGGAATTGCTTAATCAGCCGGTTGGCCTGCACGTTATCAGCCTTGACCCATGAGGCATCCTCGAATGGGTACCCCTTCCATTTAACTAGATACTGTATTGTGCCCCCCCTACGTCGGGAGTCCAGGAGTTCTTCTATTTCATAGCACTTTCCATCTATTGGTCCAGGTCTGGGTAGGTTGTCCCGAATAGCATCAAGCGGTTTTAAAAGGCTACTATGAAAGACTGGGTGGACCTTACCCAGTAAGGGTGGTAGTTTTAGTTCTACGGTAACGGGGTTGATGACCCGTACTATGGGGAACGGGCCTAGATATTTCGGGCCTAGTTTTTTGCTAGGTATACGTGGTTTGAGATACTTTGTAGACAAAAAGACTTGTTCCCCTACTACAAACGGTTTATGACCGGCCCTTTTTTTATCTGCTTGACGTTTGTACATTTCTGTTGCTTTATTTAGAGCTACTCGTATATGTGGCCATTGGTTCCAGATGTGGGTAGCCCACCTATCTGGTGCCAGCTGGTCCTGACTCCGGACCTCTAGCTCAGGTATTGCGGGAAACTCTTTCCCTGACACTATTTGGAAAGGGGTATACCCAGTGCTTCCGTGAACAGCATTATTGTAAGCTATTTCAGCAAAGGGGAGTAACTCGGACCAGTCAGACTGTTGATAGGACACGTAACAGCGTAGGTATCGTTCTACTAGCGCATTGGCCCTTTCAGCTGCTCCATTGGTACATGGATGGAACCCTGAACTCAACCCTTGTGACGACCCTATCAATTTTATAAACATACGCCAAAATTTGGAGGTGAATTGAACACCTCTATCCGATATAATACGTTGAGGAGGCCCGTGTAATCGATAGATATGCCATATAAACATTCTGGCTAATTTGCGGGCAGACGGCAGTCCAGAACACGGGATGAAGTGGGCCTGCTTCGAGAAAAGATCCACAACAGTCCATATTACGGTGTTACCATTACTTTCTGGGAGGTCAACAATGAAATCCATTGCGATCTCATCCCAGGGTCGAGTGGGCTCAGCTACAGGTTGTAGGAGGCCGAGAGGTTTTCCTGTGCGGGGTTTGGTGACAGCACACGTCTTACAGCTTTTTACATACTGTTCAACGTCCCTCCTAAAGCGTGGCCACCAGAATTGGCGGCGTATCAGATGTAATGTTTTTTGAGAGCCAAAGTGGCCAGCTACTTTAGTATCATGACACCTGTATAAAACGGATTGCCGCATGGCCTCGGGAACATATAGTTTATTTCCCACCCAAACAAGTCCATCCCGTTGGGTTAACTTTTGTTGGTTGTCCCTACACCAAGCATCCGTGGTTAGCTGCTTTTGCAGCTCCTTCTTCCAGGTAGAATCTAATCCAGTATAGAACGTTTGACATGCTCGTTGCTTGTCTGGTAATATCGCCTGTACCACTTCCTCTTTTTTACTGTCATATTGTGGCAGACGGGATAGAGCGTCTGCCAGGAAATTTCGTCCTCCCGGAAGGTATCGTAACCGGAAGTCAAAACGTTGAAAATATTGTGCCCATCGAACTTGTTTCGGAGACAACCGTCTGGGATTTTGCAGGGCTTCTAGATTTTTATGGTCCGTCCATACTTCGAATGTAATACCACTACCTTCTAACAAATGTCGCCACGTAAGTAATGCCCATCGTACCGCAAAAGCCTCTTTCTCCCAGATCGCCCAACGTCTTTCAGTAACGGAAAACTTGCGTGATGTATAGGCGCACGGATGCAACTCCCCTTCTGGGGTTTTCTGTAAAAGAACCGCACCCACCGCCACGTCACTCGCGTCTGCTTGCACGACGAATGGTAAAGTGGGGTCTGGATGCCGCAATATAGGCGCCTGTGCGAATAAGGTTTTCAACGCCTCAAATGCCCTCTGACAATCTGGAGTCCAACAGAGCACTTGGCCCGGCCTTGCCTTCACCCCCGATTCTTTTGTCCGCAACAGGTCGGTCAATGGAAGAGCGATGTGCGCAAAGGCAGGGATGAACTGCCGATAAAAATTAGCGAACCCCAGGAAACTCTGTAATTGTTTTCTTGTCGTGGGTGCTTGCCACTCTAGAACCGTGCTCACCTTCTTCGGGTCCATCTCCACCCCAGTCTCGGAGATACGATATCCCAGATAGTCGAGTTTTCTCCGGTGGAATTCGCACTTCGACAGCTTAACAAACAATTTGGCTCGAAGCAGTTTTGATAACACCTGGCGCACCAAAGCAACGTGTTCCTCCATTGTCTTGGTGTATATTAGGATATCGTCGAGGTAAACAAG